TAAACCCATCCTTTCACGTCAGCCCTTTGAAACAGTAATTCATGCCTTTGTGACCACTAGGCTGGATTACTGTAATGCTCTTTATGTGGGGGTTAGTGGCTCCTCCATTGTCCATCTTCAGATGGTGCAAAATGCTGCTGCACGTCTTTTAACTGGCACATGTAAATACGAACACATTTCTCCCATTTTAGCCTCACTTCACTGGTTGCCCATACATTTCAGGATCAGTTTTAAGATTATTGTATTTACTTTTAAATCCCTCAAGGGTCTTGCCCCACCCTACCTCGCCAAGCTGCTACAGCCTTATACCCCCAGACAGCTGATCAGCTGCTCCTGAGTGTGCCCAAACAAAACAAAGCTAAAGCTTAGATGAAGCTTAAATTTTTATTGCATAGCTGTTTATGTCTTTTTGATTATTATTTTTCTTGTATTTTATTCCTTTTTGTGCTTTTTTAACACTTTGGTCCTGTATGGGTGTTTTTAAATTGCTTTATAAATCAATCAACCTTTATTTATACAGGTAAAATCCCATTGAGCCTCGAGGACTCATTTACAAGAGATTAAATAAAGTTGGATTGGATGGATTGGATAAATAAAAAATGGGACAACTAAAAAAAGCATTGTATTTTTCTTTTAAATCCAAGTTTCATCCTGAGCTCTGCTCTTTCATTTTATATGGGTGGATGCTCATCATTGTGTGTTTGTGTGGCACACAGGCTGTTGTGAACTGGGACCCCGTCGACCAAACAGTGCTGGCAGATGAGCAGGTGGACGAAAACGGTCGATCCTGGAGATCCGGCTCTCTAGTGGAAAAGAAGCTACTCACACAATGGTTCATCAAGACTACAAACTACGCTAAGGTGTGACTATGAGTGTGTTTGCGCCCTGTTTGGACAGTGCGTTTGTGTGACTTCTGAATGACTGTCCGTTTGTCATGTGGGCAAGAGAGAAAGAGCAGAGAACTATTCTGTTAACAAACTTGGCTGCCCTGCCTCTCCGGTTCTGCAATCAGACCCCTGGAGACCATCATCAGCTGCCTGGTCTCAGTGTTCAAAGGAAAAACTCAGCAACAGACTCAGGGTTGGCCTGGCAGCCTGATGAGCCTTAACCTTTCTAAACAGAGGTGGACCGGTCTGCTGCAGGGACAAATGAGTCCCACTGGACAGAAACAGCCTCAAGAGAGGTTGTTCATGCATTTTACATGCAGCACTTGTATGTTCAGTGTGAGAGAACTAGGTGTGTATGTGCCACACTTAACACTAAATCTCATTTGAATTGCTTTTTTTGTATGAACAGGCAGAAAAAAATACTTATCTGTTTTATTTGTTAACGTTAGCCAAAGATGATTTGTTTTAATAACTTGTGATATTTAATTATTCAACAATGCAAAGAAAATTTGATAGCTGTGTTCAGAAACAATCTGCAAAATTCCATATTTTGGGAGGTAAAAAGATATATATTGTCAATTTTCTTTAAAATTACCATAATTTCAAGTCTATAGAGCACACCTGACTATAAGCCACGCACACTAAATTTATAATAAGACACAATTTTGCACATTAATAGCCACACTTGTGTATAAGCCGCGGGTGTTCACAGTTTAATATCAGAAACTGTACTAAAACTCCTGAGATAAAAACACAGCTCTTGTTGTATTACAAAAATTAACCATCAGATGGCGTTTCATAGATTTTATTTTGCTTTTCAATACAAGCACAGATTGCTGATCCTCATAGGTCTTCATGATAACACCCTGTCTGACTCATGGTTTCTTTACTAAATAACCTACAACCTACTGAATGAACACAAAACCTAGTCTATGAACAGACTACCGGTAAAAAGAACAATGCTAAACACCTACGGTAACTAAAATTATTAGACAATGAACATACTGGTAAATTTTACCCACAATCCCTACCTGAGTAATGCGTAATTAATCTATGTAATATATGTTTCACTTTCTGAAATGATGGACAAAAGATATTAACCTTTTTCACAATGTTCAAAAATTTTAGCTGCACCTGTATGTACATTTTTGACTGCAGCTGAGGATGCGCAATTTAAAAAAAACCAACCCAGAAATAACTCTAAATGTATTGAACTTTGAACATAATAATTATAAAACCTTTTTTCTGCCTTGTAAATGTTCTTTGCAGTTTCTTGAATAAAAAAAGAAGGTAATTTGTCCGCCAACTGTTTCCATTTGAGCTGTGTTGCCAAAGTTGCCCATGTGTGTCCGTGTCAGAGGTGTGAGTGGAGGTGGAAGCAGCCTACTGTGACAATGTGTTCCTGCATTTCTAATTTTTCTCTGATGAGCACAGAAATGGGATAGGAAGAAACTGGGGAGGTGTTAAGGGAAAAAAATTAGAAAGACAGATGGAGAGGGGAAAAAAGGGACGGGAGTGTGCCAAATAAAACGTGATGTAATTGGACTGTGATTTCCTGCAAGTGTGTTTCGTCTGCTTGCCACCATTCAAGTTCATGTCTGCCAGACATCAACATTAGACAGTGTTTATTTAACAGTTCCCCCCTCCACAATGACTGTTTATTAATGATAACGACTTTAATGTTTTAATGTACAGCAATTGAAGTGGTAATTTATCAAGTGGTTGGAGCTGTTTTCAATTTCATGGATAGTCACACTTATTAAAGTCTGGAAAAGAAATAATTAGAAAACAAAACACTGGACTTCTAGTCTGTAGCTTTTGCTTCCCATCTGGGTAGAGTTCTCATTTCAAACAAGCGATACGCCATTGTTCTCAGTTGCTGAGAGATTTGAACAGTGAATGTTTGTAGTTTTTGAGATGAGTGTTTTTCTGGACTGGAATTGAACAGGAAACGCAAGTAAACCTTAATGTTTTTGATGCAAGATATTCAAGGTTGTAGCAGTTACACAAGAATCTTCACCAGCATAGGAGTTACACTGTGTATAAGAATAGATGTTTTTTTCTTGTCCGAGGCAGTGCAGAGTGACAGATCCTGGTGAGTGGAAGGAGCAGTTTTATCCATGACCAGGAGCAATGGTAAAGCCAGAAGGTGACTATAGAATAATCTTCAGCCACCCTGGTCATTTGAGGAAACTATAGAGGTGGTAACCCAATTTTCAATGGACCTTTTTTTTGAAAACAGCACATTTGTTTTTCAAGTTATGAAGCTCACATGGTTTACATATATACATAGATGGTGGCAGCTAACTTGGATTTTGACATGGGAATGCAATATTTGATGGTGACATTTCAGAGTCAGAGTCAGAGTCAGAGTCAGAGTTTCTTTATTGTCATTTGCACCTCATGTGGTACATGTGGTGGAGCGAAATTATGTACACAGGGTCCCAGTTACATCCAACAATAAAATGTATAAGAAAAACAGTAATAACATCCAAGATACAAGATTACATCTAGATGCGGCTACACCGAAATGGATGTTGGCACAATGCTTATTTTTCAAGTTATCCAGCCCACAAGACGGATGGACATATATTGCGGCACTCATCTTGGGTTATGACATGGCAACCCAATTTTCAGTTAGGGACTTTTTTACATCTAGTGGCAGCCACACACCAAAATGGAAGCAAGCATGTTGCTTGTTTTTCAAGTTATGTCTAACTCACAAGATTTCCATATATATATTGTAACGATTTGGTGGTGGTTGAACCCAAAATGCAGGCAGGACTTGGAGGACTCAGGTTTAAAGTAAAAAGTTATTTAATGAAAAATAAACAAAAGAGCTGACGTGGCAGCAACAACTTACATGAATCATGAGAGGGCATGAAGGGGGACAACATTTTCAATTCAATTCAAGCTTTATTTCTACAGGTTAGTCTCACTGAGCTTCGAGGACTCATTTACAAGAGAGACCTGTTTTAAACAAAGAACACAGATGACAACAGTAGACAATCTTAAAAAAGCTTATAAAATGAAAAGTAAATGGAAGAAATTATATTAAAAAACTGAAACAAAAACACTTACATTATAAAGCAATGTAAAATACTAAAACCAGGAACATGTCTGCATTGGTTTTTGCCATGAACTTAGCAGATGTTTGAGTCACTCAGAGAGGTCAAGGTTGAGAGCTTCAGATCTTTTTGCAAGATATTCCAGGAAACAGGAGCAAAGTAAGAGAAGACTGTTTTGCCTAGTTCAGCCGCACTGAGGGAACACTGCATGCAACAATGTCCTGAGAATACACACTGTAGCTGCACTCACGCAGAGACATGTAGGAGGAGATGTATAAAGAAAACAGACCAAGAAGTGATTTAAAGATGAAAATGTACCAGTGAGAGAGTCTGCGTAAAGTTAATGATGTCCAGTTAACCAGTGAATACAGGGTGCAGTGATGGGTATGGTAGTTACAGCCATTTATGATTCTTAGTGCACTGTGATAGACAGTATCCAACATCTGCAAGGTACTTGCAGGAATGTTCATGCAAATAATGTCACCGTAGTCAATGGAGGGAAGTAGCAGTTACAAGGTGTTTCCTAGCGTTCAGAGTTAGACAGGATCTATTTCTGATAAAGAAACCCAGTTTAACTTTCAGTTTCTTTACCAAGCTTGTGACATGGGCTTAAAAGAGAGCCCCATGTAGGGATAAAAACAGGATGTTGTATAGAACATGAGCAAGGAGCCTTCATGAGGCAATGCCCAGATGACAGAGAACAGGAGACTTCGACTTAAATGCACAAACACTGACGAGACAGAGTGAAAACACCTGAGACAGGCAACGGGTGTAGAAGGCAGGGACTTGACGAGGGACAGACCACACAATGGAGACACACCAGGAACAGAGACAAACAGGATCAGAAAAGAAAATAAGAGAAACACAAAGACAACAGACAAAAGGACAGATTATGCCATATACAATATACATGTATGGCAGCATTGGATTTTGACATAGCAACCCAAGTTTTTATTAGAAACATTTCATATGCCTTCATGTAGCTACACACCAAAATGGAAGTCACAAATTTTCATTATTCAGTTCACAAGACGGATGGACATATATGTCGACAGCCATCTTGGATTTTAATGTGGTAAACCAATGTTCGAAATGAACTTTTCTTATGCCTAGATGCAGCCACACCCCAAAATGGAATAGTTGATACCTCACTTATTTTTTTGTCAAGTTATCATGCTCACAACACAAACAGGCAGATGGAGGGCATTTCCAATTCTCCCTCTTCACTCAACATTGGGGGACAAGCAAAAGGGGGGGAAATACTGCCAGTCTATTACTCCACATAGAGCCAAATGATTCTCAGATGACTTTCTCTGACATTATTGTTCAAGTATGAGCTTAAGTTTCTATCAATGCATTGTAGTGTAGGTAAATTAAGAAAAGAAACAAAATAAAAACATTTAGACTTCCATCCATCCATCCATCCATCCATCCATCCATCCATCCATCCAT